AAATCAAATACGTTGTTACATACACGAGCGAATCGAACAAGTTGAGATATATGAACACCATAAGATTGACAAGGGAACGTCACCATCTAAAAATGGATAATTAACAAAATCCAAAAATCCAGGAAAGGGTAGTGTTCATTGTTAGTATTAGGTTTATTCAAAGTCAGTTCAACAGGATTAATCTCTTTAGTGTACATACTGAAGTTGTCATTATTGAGAGCCATATATCATCCAAATATCTAAAAGTACTATTAAATGTTTGTATCAGATGTTGTTTCGATAAGTCTTAGCTGATTTTAGTTAAAAAAAACTCATAACAATACAGAAACAGATCCGCATTAAGTGGTGCACAGCAAGTCCCCATTGGAATTCCGATAATTTGACGATATACGGAATCTCCAAAGCAATCAAAAATCTTATCTAGTAAAAAGTCAAGGGCAGTTACAGTATCAAAGCAGGTCCAATTGACATAGTTCTTTTGTTTGCTGTTACTAAAAAATTACCTAAGTTTATGTATTTCTCTGTCTTTGATGTTTATGCATTTGTTTGTACTCTGTTCCCGTCATGTAATGTTGTCATTTTAGCTGTATTTTAACATTGCCATAAAGCGCGGAGGTTTGGCTAGCCACAAAACCAGGTTCAACCCACCATTTTTTTCTTAAAATGTGCTGTTCCAAGTCAGAAATATGGCAGTTGTTATTTAATAGTTCGTTTCTATGAATGTTGCATTGTTGTTTGTTTTTTGTTGCACTTCTGTGTTCTGTTATTTCGTTGTTTTCCTCTTATAGTTGATGTGTTTCCCTCGGTTTTAGTTTGTAACACGGATTTGTTTTTTCTCTCAATCGATTTATGACTTTTGAACAGCGGTATACTACTGTTGCCTTTATTGAACATAAATATTCGCATTCTGACTTTTAAACGCCCATTTAATTAGGTGTGTGAATTTTTTTCTAGTAAGAATATGAGGCAAAGTGGTATATAGGGTAGAAAAATCGAAACTTTGAACAGATACAAAATCACCAATAAAAGCATGCAATTTATCAAGTACTTCCAACGAATTTTTGACACTCCAAAAGTAATTAATTCCACTATTTTCAAAGACCTTATTTGAACAATTCATTATCAGGTTTTTAATTGTACCAAGAGTACTAGTAAGTAGAATAGACAGTTTAGTAGTGGAACAATGGCTTGAAGACGAAATAAATCTATTTTCGTAAGATGTTTTGTGCAGCTTCAGAAGCCAGTACATAGTTTGAACTTTCATTGTATCTTGTTCTGCTTGTAAAGAAGTAGCTAAAAGTTTTTAAAATTGAGAACGGAAATGGGGAATGTGAGTGAGAAAACAACCCGACCAAAGAGCGGAAAACAGCCAAAGTCCACCACTGGGTCTTCAATACAGCGAGAAAATCCCGCACCCGGAGGCGTGCTTCAGGTGGCCCCTAAACAAAAATGTGTACTAGTTCAGTGATAATGGAAGTCATACTAAACTCCGAAATATATAAAAGAAACTAAAATTAAAAATCATACAAGACTAACAAAGGCCAGAGGCTCCTGACTTGGGACAGGCGCAAAAATGCGGCGGGGTTAAACATGTTTGTTACAGATATCATTTTCCTTTTCCAAAAATAGAGTCAGTTGGAATGTTGGTGAATTTGTGATTTCCTTTTGCAGAACCTCAATGTAAAATGTACATCAAACAATCATGATATTATTAGCAGCCTTATCAGCCACGACAAAAACAAATTCCTTGGCAAGTTCTTTTAGCTTATAGATATAAGAAGATGTGGTATGAGTGCCAATGAGACAACTCTCCATCCAAGTCAAATTTTATAAAAGTAAACCATTATAGGTCAGAGTACGGTCTTCAACACGGAGCCTTGGCTCACACCGAACAGCAAGTTATAAAGGGCTCCAAAAATTACTAGTGTAAAACCATTCAAACGGGAAAACCAACGGTATAATTTATATAAAAAACGAGAAACGAGAAACACTTATGAACCACATCAACAAACGACAACTACTGAACATCAGATTCCTGATTTAGAACAGGTGCAAACAATTGCAGTGGGTTTAAACGTTCAAACCTTCACCCTTATCTGAAACAATAGTGTAACATCACAACATAGAAAGACACACTATAAAATATCAATTGAAATGGCTTAACTCAATCAAAGACAATATTAACACAAATGAACATACACTGAACAAATAAATTTGATCTATGATACAATGCAAATACAAATGTTTGATACGAGAAAAAGGGTTATAATGGTTGTTGTTAGGAGTAAAATAATCCATTTCGAGCAGTAAGTACGGGATGAGTCGTGGATGATGTTTCGACACTCATTCCAATTGATAATTGACGGGGGACGATATTTAGGCCCTTTACTGAGGAATGATTTAAACTCTCGGTCACGAACGATGTTAAGGTCTCCAGTTATAACATGGGAAATGGGGCCATACATGTATTCGGAATTACTGCAGTTTCATGACGTAGGTGTATTGTCACTGATATTGACATCTTTACACACTTGGCTATAATTAAACACATATTTCCGGGTAGATTTGTTTGTAAACATAACAAAGAAGAGGGAGTTCAGAATTATCAAAATATCCAGGAAATTGTTCTTTAACAGAATGATCATAAAAAATACCGGCAATATTTACAAAATCAAAACCTTTATTGACATATTCAATTTGAATAAAATGTTTTTATGATCTTCAGGGCGATCAATTTTGGGAAACAGTTTAGAATAACAGTGTGCAATTATAATTTGAACGATTTCGTACTTACATGACTTAGGACTGCAATATGGAATCGTATTGCAATCCTCTAAAATTTTATGTAATTTATTTACAGGTAAAGAATATGGCTTGGTTAACAGATAATGTCTGTCGTTGTTTTTTGAAATAGAAATTAGGTCCGAAATATTTGAATTGTTGGTACGAAATTTTCTTTGAGTGCGATTTATTCTACGCTCATGAGAATGGTTTTTACGAACAGTTTTAGAAACTATATCAAAATATTAACAGACTCGGTTCTTGATATATTACCACTTCCCATGATATTATCTTGAAGACCGAGAGGATAGACTGTCTGTAATTTTTAATCCAATTTAATTCAATTATTTTCCGTGATCGTACAAACTTTGAATGAGATTCCATCATAGCATAGGTTCGCGTAATGTATTAGTCTATTGTTTTCGTTTTTTGGTTGTATTAGTATCACTTTGCTATGTAGTATGTTTGTTCTTTTGTCTAGAATATAATACTTTATATGTTCTTTTATCCATATCATTGTCATATTGCATGTTATGTTCATGAAATTGTTAATTTAAGATACTATTTCAAGAAATCCGAATATTACTTACGAATTGCTTGTTTATTAAACCTATTATCTACGGAATTGTATTTCTTTGTTGGTTGGTTTGGCAGTTAGTTTCCAAAGGCAGAAGCTAAATACAACAGACACATTAACTTGTAACTTTTACTTGTTAGGTTTTGTGTTTCTTTCATTGGTATACAACACTGATATTTGATGCAATATTTTGGGCAAAATATAAATTATTTGATATAAGTCTCTGTGATTGTGGGGGCCTCGGTGGCCGAGTGGTCTAAGAAGTCGAACAACTATATCACTAGCCTGTCAACACTGAAGTAGTAAGTTTGATCCCTCACGGGGCAGGTGCACACACATTTTAATTGACTAGGATTGTAAGTTTTCCTACAGAAGGTCGCTGGTTCTCTCTGGGCACTCTGGCTTCCTCTACCAATAAAAAGTGAACGTCTTGAAATAGCACGATATTGTTGATTGCGATGGTAAGTGTTTCTACCTTAGTTCTGATGTCTATAGACCGTGATTTGGTAAAAGTTCACCCAATTACATCAATACACATAAGAACCTTTCAAAATGTTAGCCTTTACGTTGTTTTTGCATGGCTTATTATATCTGTATACATCTAATCTCCCGGTATTCTTTTAATTCTATGTAATAGAAGATGAGTTGCATGGAACATGAACTTCCACGTTCCAAAGAAATAACAAGTTTAGACAAAGGAGAAGCAAAAGATACCAGAGGGACATTCAAGCTCATAAGTGGAAAATAAACTGATAACGTCATGGCTAAAAAAGAAAAAAAAACCAACAGGCAAACAATAGTACACAAAACACAACATAAAAAATGTAAAAGACTGAGCAATACAAACCCCACCAAAAACTTGGGATGCTCTCATGTGCTCCGGAAGTGTAAGAAGATCTTGCTCCACATGTAGCACCAAGAATTATACATAGAAGCCTTTGTAGAGTAGATATTTTAACAGAAAACAAGAAGGGTGTTTTAGACTAGCTTCGTGCAAACTCTGTATAACATAAATAAAGTACACTCATTGGCTTTTAAAATCAGCCTATTCTTTGTCTTATGATTTGTTCATACCTTAAACGTTTATAGCAGCTGTAGTTGGCATACATGAGTCGTAATTTGCATTGAGTTTAAAGAAGTCATATAACTTTGTGTTCACACGAAATGTCTTCATCATGGCCATGTTTTCTGCAATTTGTCTGTTTATATACAAATTTTCTACATAGGAATATGACAGTTGTTATCCATTCTATTGATGTTTTGAGCTTTTGATTTTGCCATTTGATTACGGACTTTCCGTTTTGAATTTTCCTCGGAGTTCAATATTTTTGTGATTTTAATTTTTGATATGAGTAAAAGAGTAAGGGGTTTCTACACGTAAACATAGATGACCGTAGTGTTCATAGTACATTTTTTTTGGAAATTTAAAGTTTGCATAAGGCGTCAACTTCATGTTCAACTATTTTTATTCGTCTACTCAGTCTAATGTAGACGAAACGCGCGTATAGTGAGCTTTGCATGTCTTATGAGATTTTATAGCAAGCTGTTTAGTGGTAATTCCACTTTTGGAGTGTGTGGGTTCCTGGTTTCTTTACGTATACCCCGCATCCCTTGTTGTTATTTTTAAAATCATCAATTAAAACCAGATGTATAAACATATATTTAAAAGACAAACTTGTTTTAATAGATTTAATTTTAATTTTCTTTCTGATGCTTCAACATCTATGGTTAACTGCATATGAGACTTTTCTGTTCACATTATATCATCAGATATTCTGAAAATAAAAACGAAAAATTAAATAAAAAAACGTAAAGTAACCTCCGTAAAATATGTAAAATAAATAAAAACAGACACACAGTAAAATGTATTTGACATAAAATGAGTTAAGATTGTTTTTTACTACCAATTTGCAGTTCTTATTATCATATTTTTAAACATAGAATCACTTCGATACACAAAGCGCATGATAAATTGCAACATAATGAAATATGCAAATGTCCAGAACATTTTTTCATAAATAAATTACATAGAATGCTGTTGAATGTGATATTCAAAGCTTAAAAGCCCAAACTAGATTATACAACTAGCAGTATGTTGAAAAATTATATCCTCGAAATTAAATATGTAATTCAAGATCAATATAGCTAGAAAGATTTGTACAAACATTGACGGTCACAAGAAATTCGGTCCAAACGAAAAATATAAAACACTTTATAAATGTTGTGCGTCCAAGATATATATATAGGAGCATAATGAACATAAGGGACAAATGAATGTTAGTCGAAATTCATCTTAGTATAAAAATATTCAAAACAATTCAAACGAGAAAACAAACGGCCTGATATATGTAAAAAGTAGTGAACGAAATACAAATATGATGTACAGCATGCAATAAAGACAATCACTGAAATACAGGCTCCTGACCTGGGACAAGCACATACATAATTTGACGGGGTTAAACATGTTAGCGGGCGCCCAACCCTCCCCTGACCTTGGACAATGGTGTAAAAGTACAACATATGAACAAACTATAAAAATCAGTTGAAAAGGCTCAACTCATCAGATCGATACAAAGCAGAAAAACAAGTAAAACACACAGACTGGACGGGGCAGGGTATTTATACATCCCTACAACAAAAAAGACACTAAGTACAGATCTGAGGGAACTCACAGTTCCTGACATCTATTTCAAAACCAATAACAACTAATGCAAAATCATATATCTAAGACTAAAATCAACTTTGTCTAAGGTAGTTTGTACATAAATTTTTTTTAAAATGTCCTCATTTTTCAACGTAGACTTTCAGAATAGTATTGTTATAAATCATGTCAATATCGAAACAACACGAGTTAAAATATCATGAACTTGTCAAATCATATACTGAAATGTCCTTGATATTTTATGCCCCACCTACGATAGTAGAGAAGCATAATGTTTTCCAGTCTGTGCGTCCGTTCGTTCGTTCATTCGTCCGTTCATTCGTCCGTCTGTTCATCCGTCCGTTCGCTTGTTCGTCCGTCTGTTCCGATCCAGGTTAAAGTTTTTTGTCAAGGTAGTTTTTGATGAAATTGAAGTCCAATCAACTTGAAACTTAATACACATGTTTCTTATGATACGATCTTTCTAATTTTAATGCCAAATTTGTATTTTTGACCCCAATTCACGGTCCAATGAACATAGAAAATGATAGTGGGAGTTGAGCATCCGTAAACTATGGACACATTCTTGTTTAAATAAGTGTTGTTTCAGTAAAACATATTTTATTTGCTTAAATAGTCAAAGGGATGAGTGTAGTTCACCAAAATCTTGCCACTCAAAGCAACAATGACCTAAATATTTTGACAACTGATCAAGACATTTTGAAAAGATTGCAAAATCAATGTTCGGACATCTTGCGTAAATGCCCCTCCCCCAGAAAATCCCCGGGTAAAGAAATCAGACCAAGTTTCTCCGTTTGAGCTGAGGTTACGACTATATATAAGAAAGCTATAATCTCAACCAGAGAATCAAAGAAGCAACAAGAGTTACACCTCATTGTAGTACACTAATTTATCATGTTTATGTCACCAATTAGGATTTGATACTAGAATCACATGTTGCTAAATTCTCAATTAGTTATCATTATCCAGAATGCTTAACTAGGAAAGAAAAAAAAAAACAGGACAAAAAACAAATGAGAGAAATTTTTATTTAAAGATGTTAAAAAATTCAAAAGCATCAATCGATTTGTGGAAATGTATTCACTCCAAACAAGAAAAAACACATGGTCTTTCAAATGAAGATAGTGTTAGAACTAAAAATGTCAATGACATTTGTAATGTTTTTAATAAGTTTTTTACGTCATGTGCTGATCTGTGAGCAATGATCATGATTTCACAAGAATAACTCAAATTGTACAAACGAAATTTTCTGATTTAAAACAATTCAAATTCTTAATTCCACCGGTCACAATACATGAGATTATTAGGGCCCCAGCGAATGGCGGTCGCCCTATAGTGATCAGTCTGTCCGTTCGTCCGTCCGTCCGTAACAAATTGTGTCCGTTCTATATCTAGAGAACCGTTATTATTTCATATTCTATACTTGACATGTTATTAACACCAGAGGGTGTGTCATAATGTATGTACAACTTTCTAAGTCAAAGATCAAGGTCAAAAACTTTGGTTTCAGTTGACAACCCCATGTCCTATGGTAAAGATTGTGTCCGCTCTATACCTTGAGAACCGTTATGATTTCAAAGTTTATACTTGACATGTATATTAACCAACACCAGAGGGTGTGTCATAATGTATGTAAATGTACAACTTCCTAGGTAAGAGGTCAAGGGCAAAAACTTTGGTTTCAGTTGACAACCCCATGTCCTATGCTAAAGATACAAATTTTTACCACACGTTATTCACAGCGGGACCCACAGAGATGGCTCCCATCTCAATGATGTCTAGTTAAACATGACATTAATAAATTCAACCGATCTGATAACATTTGACCCACATTTTTTTAAATTATGTGCTCCTTTCATAACTTGAATTTTTGATAGAATGATAGATACTAGTACATTGCCTTCTGTTCTAAAGAATGCAAGAGTAACCCATACTTTTTAAGCTGGGGGGAAATTCATGGCAATAAAATCATAGACCAATTTCTGTACTTCCTGTTATATCAAACGTTTTAGGAAAGCATGTTTCAAAACATTTGTATGAATATCTAAAAAGACTTAACCTTGTACACCCATCACAATCTGTGTTTAGACAAGAACAGTCTTGCCAAACTGCCCTTATCAATATCATCTATTAGATAAATAGATACAAGACATGAATAACGGTAACACCAACTTAGATTTTAAGAAAGCTTTTAATGAAGAAGATCATGATATTATCTGTTAAAAACTTAAAATCTATGGGTGTGATAATGCTGCTGTTTCTTTTTTTCAAGTCGTATTTGAACGAAAGAACTCAACAAGTACAAATTGGTAATGCTCATTCTAAAAATAGTTAATATCTAGTATGGTGTCCCCAAAGTTCCATATATTCTGTTTATTTTATACCTAAATGGCAATATTTGTGTGGAAAGAGTTAAGGTATCTCAAATAAATCATTTTCTGTATTTTGAAATAAAAGAAATTAATACTGATATAAAAACATTTAAAACTTGACGACATAAAACTATTCTATGATGGTTACATCTTACCACTAATTTATTATTGTTGTATAGTTTGGAATAGTTGTAGCAGTGAGGGTTTAATAGGATATTACAATTACAAAAGAGAGCTGGTAGAATAGTACTAGAAACAGACCCTTTCAATCCTTCTGATATAAAAAATGAAGATGTGGTATAATTGCCAATGAGACAACTCTCCACAAGAGACCAAATTATGACACAAAAAATTAACAGCTATAGGTCACCGTACGGCCTTCAACAATGAACAAAGCCCATACCGTATTGTCAGTTATAAAAGGCCCCGAAATAACAATTGTAAAACAATTCAAACGAGAAAACTAACGGCCTAATAAATGTAAAAAAACTTTTTTTAACGAAAAACAAATATGTAAAACAGCAACAAACGACAACCACTGAATTCCAGGCTCCTGACTTGGGACAGGCACATACATACAGAATGTGGCGGGGTTAAACCTGTTAGCATGATCCCAAACCTCCCCTTACATTGGACAGTGGTGTAACAGTACTTCTGAACCCTTATTCAAACGCTTAATAAACTGGATGACAGATAAACAGAAAACAAATTATCATAAGTTTGAGATGACATTTAAGTGCAACAAAAATGATGCCCCATCATATCTTAGTAGCAAGTTTCATTATATTTCAGACAGAAATTCATACCCATTTAGAAATGCTGTTCAAGGAAACCTCATACTCCCAAAACCAAAACATTGAAATGTTCAAGAAATCTTTTATTACTTATTAATCCAGAATATATATTATTTTCACCCCAAATGTTAACATGTTTTAGCCATTAACCAGTTCATCGAACGTATATGTCAAGAAAAGTTATCATGATTGTTTGAATTGTCGGTTGCAAGATTTTGTCTTTTGATAATTATTTATCTAGATTTCAATGCTACAAACATTTCTAGAATACTGCGGTAATGACTTAATTTTAACTATCAATGTAATAGTGATTTGAAGAATATGTCGATGAGACAGTGATCTATTACCACAACAAACCCAAAAGACGTATTGCTATAGAAATCTTCATATCTATACGTATAAGTAGTGTTATCGTTGGAAAGATTCCTGCGGCAAAAAGCCCTAGACTGTCTGTTTCCATTTATATAGAGTTTTTTTTCTGCTTTCCGTAGCTTTCAATAAATTCCCATCTTGAGTCGAGTCTACGTGTTTGAAAATTTTTCAAAAAAATCTCTATTACACATGTATATCTGTGACTAAGATAATGACAAGGGTATTTTACTGTTAATACTTTGTTTTGACAAATCAAAGGAGATTGGGTATACACCAATGAAATAGCAAACCAACAACATTATAAAACCAGAAAAGAAATCTAGACTCCAATATAAGTATTAGATAATATAGATACATTTGCTTTGTGTCGAGCATGAAAAAGTTCGTACTAACGTCCGAGTTTAAACAAATTGACAATTTGCAACACCATAGAACTGCTATTAAACTTACCACCGAGTTCCATTAGACCGTTGTTATTTCTGTCAAATCCACGCTCTGTGATCTGAACCTCAAATGCATATATCCACCAATTATAACTATATTTTGGTAAACGTTCATCGTCCATTGTACTGTAGACAAGTGCCCATTCGTGAGGTGAAATGGATCCGTTTCCATCCAAATCAGTCAAGTAGAATCCCTGAATAGATGGTTCAAGTTTAGACATTTCTCGTTTGTATGCCCCTCTTTTGTTAATGTCCTGCAAAGTACAAAGTAAGTGTATCTATTTAGTTTTAGCCCATTGTTTTCTATTCTGTAAACCCTATCCATAACCTCGTATTCCTTTTTTCTGTCCCAAGTCTGTGACCTTATCAGTTGTTGTCTTGTGTCAGATCTAAATTTGTTCTTATGTTTAATTTATTTCAATTTAAATATTATACGATCGTAATTAATTTATTCGTTCTGAATATGAACAATTTATTGGCTTGGTACCTCCAAGCTTAAACCCTCCTTAAATAACTCTTTATTAAACAATCATGTAATATGTCCCTATAAACAATCATATACTATAAAATATAAGCACAAACTGTATAAGCAATAAAAACAGTAAACAATATGTCCCGGTGAACCCTCAGTAATGCTACTGGAAGGGTGGCAAAAGCGAAGCGAAAAACATGACTTGCTGCCATGATGCGAATAAGCACCTGTAAGTATTATGGAATAGAGGGTGTCGGTACGTGGAGTTAAGAACACGTGCAGTTGGCACAAGGGAAGCGGTGATGTGGCGGAGTGGGCGGAGCTAAGACACGTGTATGAATGGAAAACATCGTGTGCTTTTTAAAAATGAAGGAATTTCAGACATTTAAGCATTAGATTTTACCTGAAGCAAAAACAAAAAAAAATTTTGAACAATTTATCCTTTTTGTCCTCATCAAAATATCTCACTGCTTTTTCATTCCATCTGTTGAAATATGTATGAATTTTGTGTTGAAATGGACACCATCGTAAGTGCACTCTATATTACAATTTCAAGACAATTGTACACGTCTCGGACCAGGAGATAAAGCTCATGTTTCGAGCATACAAGACTCAACCATGTTTATGGGTGATAATTATCGACACCGAAAAAAAAATCCATACTCAAATGATTCCCAAGATCTCTATAAAAATTGCATAAAAAAACAATTTTGAACTCGGTTGTCATTTCTTAATTTGAAAAGACAGATAGTAAAATTTTCAATTATTCTTACAATTTATTCGGTGTCGGTGTAAGTGTCTGTGTAGACGACATTCAAAAATTTCTAATACTAACTACATTTACATGATTAATGTTGAAATTAATTCGATGACATGTTTAAATCAACCCATTCAAAATAGACAATTGCATTGTAGTTTTCTATATCACTTGGTGTCCGTCCTCCTACAAAAAATCTTCTCTGAAAGTACTAGACCAAATTTAACCAAACTTGGCCACAGTCATTGTTTAGGTATTTAGTTTAAAAACTGTGTCCCATGAATCCACCTGTCAACCAAGATGGCCGACATGGGTATAAACAGAACATAGGGGGTAGAAAGCAAGTTTTGTCTAATAATTTGAAGACCGTTATAAATAGAGAAAATCTGAATTGAACAAAAATGTTCACAATGTTGAGCTGTACAAATTGTTCATTTACGTCAAAACTTTCAGGTGATCCCTTATAGGAGTAATTGCCCTTAAATGACAAATTTTACCTTTTTTTCATTTTTGCCTATTATCTTGATATCTAAAATAGATACAGAGAAACTTTAAATTTCAAAAATTACCAGCAACACAAGATCTAAAAATAAGACTAATTACAGAAATCGTCAGTCGACTCCTTATTAGAGTAATTGCCCTTTGATGATTATGTTTACCAATCATTTACCTTATATCTTAAAAATTAAAGTTGATAGATAGAAACTTAAATAAGCAAAAATGATCAGCAAGACAAGATCTACAATTAAGACAAGATAGAGGAAATCGTCCGACGATTCCTTATTGGAGTTATTGCCCTTTAATGACGAGTTTTACCATTTTATTTTTTGCGTTTTGCCTTATATGATAAAGTTATAAGAGATGAATAGAAACTTTAAATAACAAAAATGATTAGCAAGGCAAGATCTACAAATGAGTCAAATTTTGACGATATAGTTAGTAGTCACTCTTTATAAGAGTGATTTCCCCTTAAATGAATATTTTTTATACCATATCTTGTGTTTTAAGCAAAAACTAAAGAAGATAGGGAGAAACTAAACAGACAAAACGATCAGCAATACAAGGTTAATAAAAAAGAGATGTTTGTCATAAATTCTATTCTCGGTTACAATGTTGGAGAGTGTCCTTTGTTAAATATGCACATAGACCTAGGTGAGCCACACAGGCTCTTTAAGAGACTCTAGTTTCATTTTCTTACCTCTAAGCGTTAGAGACCAAAATTTCCTGTTCAACATCTGTTATTATGCCAATTAAATTCAATCCATGATTCATATTTGAAGGACAGTGAGTGGTAAATATATTATAGAAGGTAACCTAACCTCGTAAGTGTGATATATTTTTAAGTTTTTGGCTTTTTTGAAAATTAAATATTTGATGAATATCTTTGATTGTTTCTGTTTGATTTTTTAAACATTTTCATAGAATCGGGATGATTTAGAGCTGGACATGTTGTATAAATTGCTGAAGACATTAAGTTGCCCTCAGTCATATGTGCTTTGAATAATTTTGTCGTTGAATTGCTGACTTATTAAAACACGTGACATAACAAATAAATTAAAGGTGGTACCTTTATGGTGTGTTTGACTGTTTCAGATAAACTCATATCGGATATCTTCTTCGCACCAGGAAACGCAAAACAAGATGTCAATGAAATACAAACTACTATGAACTGTGTTGTAACCATTCTTAATTACCTGGAATATAATAGGTATAAAAATGGTAAACAAAATGAAAACGATTAGACGACGGATCTTGTAACTCAAAATTTGCCTTTGTTATAGATTGAAATCGTACAATATAAAGACCATTTGGTATTATGAGGAAGGAGGAACACTTTTACAAGACGATATATCTATAGTTATTTAGGCTAACATATGTTACCTTTTTTACATTTTGTTCATTGTCATCCTGTCTTTGGTGATATATGTTTTCAGTTATTTCCAGGCCAGAATATTTGTTTCCAAAATCATCCCCCGCCCCGGAATAGCGATTGGTTTTCCCCTTCTGCAAAGCGTTGTCTACAGACATTTATACTGGCTATTTTTGTATATATATAGACCACCAGTTTAATACTATACAAATCGTAGGCCAGGCAAATGCCATATCAACCTATATTTATATCAGAAAAGATCCAAGTTTCACATATTCGCGAGAATTAAACTTATTTGCGAAATGTGTTATCCCAAGGCCCGAAAAGAAGTTAGCAGTGTCCTTTAACTTAACTTTCGGCTGTATAGATGATGGTCTATCACTAAATAATTCAAAATTTGGTGACCATGTTGAACGCATCTATCCCATCGAACTTGAGATAAAGGATACAATAGATACAGTTAAGTCTGCCTCATATCTAGACTTACATGTAGAAATTGACAATGAGGGTTCGGTTGAAACCCAAACTTTACGACAAAGAGATGACTTCAGCTTCCAAATTGTGAACTTTCCATTTCTATGTTGATACAATATTTCAGGGCTTGTATTTCCTATCATGATTTCCTTGATAGAGGGTTGCTGTTTACAAGGAAGCTTTTAAACCAAGTGTTTCAAGAGGTGAAGTTGAAATCATCCTTTTGTAAATTTTACGGACTTCATCACGAGTTGGTTGACCGTTATGGAATATCTGTTTTACAGATGACGACGGATATGTTCCAATTGTCGTAACTACAATCATGTCCCCTTTTCCCCGAATGTGACCTATCGAATAAGAATTATCACCGGGTTAATACTTACATGAGCAATACGACGGGTGCCACATGCGGATCAGGATCTGCTTACCTTTCCTAAGCACCTGAGATCATTCCCAGTTTGTGGTGGGGTTCGTATTGCTCCGTATTTGTTTTTTTATGTTGTGTTTTGTGTACTGTTGTTCATCTTTTTTTCTTTTTTAGTCATGGAATTTTCAGTTTGTTTTCGACTTATGAGTTTGAATGTTCCCTTTGGTATCTGTCGCCTCTCTTTTGCATTATTTTTTCTATTCGCGAAAATTGCGAAAATAAGTCAATCGCAAATAGTATCTGGTTGGCAGTATATATGTCTGTTTATAGCAGAGAGAATTTAAGGAACAATAAAAACGAACATCAGAGAACAATATGCACCTATCAATAAATCTAGATATTAATCTATTAATTGTATTTCGGATCAGTTAGGACCGGTAATTGTTTAAGAACTTTTATTAAAAAAAAAAAAAAAAAAAATACAAAAAAAAAAAAAAAACCCGCTAAAACCTCGTTGTATTAACTCTATTGGATAACTTAAGATTTCATTTTTAAAAAAGGCATTAGTGTATCGGTAACCATAAGGATTATTGTTAATTTTGAAACCAAAATTATACAGTTTTGAACAAAATATATAATTATGGTGATCATGTTGCCGATAATAGATAAGTCTTTTACGGTAAATATTACACGTATACCAGGACGAGAACATTTTAATGAACACTAAAGTTTGTGACAGTGATATCATGACGAATAGTGTTTAAGAATAGAAAATAAATAAGCCTATTTTATATACTGTGCAAAGCAACGTCAAAGTCTTCTATTGAAAAATTCAGTATAACACTGAGTTTTGAAATCGATCAAACTTTAGATTTTAAATTGTATATAGACATAATGCATCTTCTTCACGTTATTGTAAAGTATAACGGTGTAGCACCTGATCTTATCCACAAATTCAGTTATACAAATCATAAACTAAGCTTACCAATATACAACGTGTCCTTTTTCCAAATTTTTTTATAACAATTGTAATATATGACATTTACAATTTTATAGTTAAAACTAATAAGGATAATTATGAAGAAGATTATTCACGGATTTGAACACGTTTAAACTATTAAAAGCTATTATCAATGCTCTACAACTTCGAAATTGTTTCTACCTTTCACATATGGCTGTTTCACGCTAACTGCACCTTTCAAATCAATATCAGAGCTTTGTGGTATCAAATATGATTTGGCCTGAATAACTTACCATATACGTCATTGTTTTTGCTCTATTAGTCGTGTTCCCTAGTCGTAAGGCTGCATATAAACTCAACATAGATACCAGTGTAACTGGTTATTCTGTCATGAAATTTCCTTCATAATATACGTTCCAAGTCGAAGATATATTCTATAATATTATTTCCTCTGGAACAAATATTACAGTATTTGTTCCTTACGGAACAAAGGGTATAGAATATGTGTTTCAACAGGAACAGATATTATGACATTGTTTATAACAAAGTTTCCAGGGGAACATCTGTTAGGCGGAACAGGTATACGTATTTCTTGTCTTGGGGAGGGATAAATCCTACTTTGTAAAGAATCACTCTGATTCAAACAAAAAATTCTCTGAAACTGACATTATCAAGATGCTTGATTTCTTGATTGACAACATATTTGTTACGTTTGGAGGACGTGTTTTTCAACAGACTGTCGGAATTCCAATGGGAACCAATTGTGCCCCTCTTCTTGCCGACTTGTTTCTTTATTATTATGAGGCTGACTTCATACAGGAACTTCTTAGGAAGAAAGATAAGAAGTTAGCAATATCCTTTAACTCTACGTTCCGCTATATAGATGATGTTCTCTCACTAAATAATACAAAATTTGGTGACTATGTTGAACGAATCTACCCCATCGAACTACAGATAAAGGATACTACAGATACAGTTAAGTCTGCCTCATATCTTGACTTACATCTAGAAATTGACAATGAGGGTCGGTTGAAAACAAAACTTTACGACAAAAGAGATGATTTCAGCTTTCCAATTGTGAACTTTCCATTTCTATGTAGCAACATTCCAGCAGCGCCTACATACGGAGTATATATCTCCCAATTGATACGATATTCCCGGGCTTGTGTTTCTTATCATGATTTCCTTGATAGAGGATTGCTGCTCACAAGGAAGCTAATAAGCCAAGAGTTCCAAATGGTGAAGTTGAAATCATCCCTTCGTAAATTTTACGGACGCCATCACGAGTTGGTTGACCGTTATGGAATTACCGTTTCACAGATGATATCGGATATGTTCCTTAAGTCGTAACTACTATACCCTTCCCTTTTCACGAATGTGACTTACCGAATTAGACTATTTACCGGATTTGTAATAACATAAGCAACACGACGGGTGCCACATGTGGAGCAGGATGTGCTTACCCTTCCGGAGCACCTGAGATCACCCCCAGTTTTTGGTGGGGTTCGTGTTGCTTAGGCTTTAGTTTTCTATGTTGTGTCATCTGTACTATTATTTGTCTGTTTGTCTTTTTATTTTTGGCCATGGCGTTGTCAGTTTGTTTTCGATCTATGAGTTTGACTGTCCCTCTGGTATCTTTCGTCCCTTTTTTTGACAGTTCAAGCCAACAGAGTTGATTGACAACATTTATAAATTTTTTAACTAATTGAATTATTTTTGGTTTATATATATATATAATAACTATACTTTATTTTTCCTGTTTACAATGAAGAAATAAAGGTTCAACAGGACCACAGTCGAATGTTAAAGCATAAGTACACAAAGTCTAGTGACTAGTTGAACGCATCTATCCCCTCTAACTTGAAATAAAGGATACAACATCTATAGTTATGTCTGCCACATTTATTGACTTATATCTAGAAATTGACAATGAGGGTTTGTTGAGAACAACACATCAAAAGAGATGATTTCAGCTACCTAATTGTTAATTGATCCATTTCTATGAAGCAAAATTCCAAAGGCACTTGTAAATAGATTGATTGATTGATTGTTGGTTGCTTAACGTCCAGTGGCAAATATTTCATGCATATTCAGGACGAGAACAAGTTCACAATAAATACAATAGGTAGGTTCTGTAATAGGTTAAGGGATTAAGGTCGGAGAAATTTAGACTGCCACGGGAAATGAGGGTATATTGGATAGGGACAGAAATTTTGCCTTGCAACAGGTCACCTACGGACCCCTCAAAGAGTTGTTGCAAGGGTTCTTAACGTGCAAAGAGCGTGGCACTCTCTTTACACGAGGCATCGGATTTAACGTCCCCATTCTGACCGGACGTGGCTGCAAATTTGTACATCCCGCACAGCCAAACGGACGCCCCACTTTAGCACGGGTTTTACTGCCGGTCGGAGGAAGACCAATGGTGACCATACTTCTATTCCCCAGTCACCCTTGGGGGCCTTGTAAATAGAGTATATATCTCAAAATTGTGACGATATTCAAGAGCTTGCATTTCCTATCAGGTTATATTGCTGCTCACAAGGAAGATTTTGAACCAAGCGTTCTAAGTGTTGAAGTTGAAGTCATCTCTTCGAAATGTTACGGACGCAATCACCAGTTTGTTGACCGTTAAAGAATATCTGTTCCACAGATGACGACGGATATGTTCCAATTGTCGTCAACTGTCCTTCGCATGTTACTTACCGAATTAGATTTACCACATTATTTGTACTGACATCACCATCACGATGGGTGTCATATGTGCAGAAGAATCTGCTTACCCTTGTGGAGCACCTGCGACCACCCCCTGTTTTGTTTGGGTTCATTTTGCTTAGTCTTTAGTTTTCTATATTGTGGTTTTTAGACTGCTGTTTGTCTTTTGGTCGTTTTTCGCCTTTTACAATGGCATTGTCAGTTGTTTATCGACTTATGAGTTTGAATATCCCTTGGCTATCTTCCGCCTCTCTTTTTCCAAATAAAAATTAAAAATCATCATAATATTATGTGAATTTTTTACTACTTTTTGGTGTAAAAAATTTGAAAACAAAATCACCGAACTCCACCACTGTGTAGCATCCTCACCGGATATACCAAATGTGAAGTCAGGTAAGGTCAATTTTTTCTTATTTTCATGATATTTTACGTTTTGCTGGCAAGATAAATCTTTTGATACTGATTCTGTATAATATAGCTACTATTTAGGGCTGATTATGATACTTAATTGGCTCTATCTTCAAATCGAAAAAAAAGGATAATGGTAGCCTGTTGAAAGAAGCCTGTGACGAGTTCAAACTTTTTAAAAAGAGATTCCTTCAAATATTCATCTGACGGTTTCGTGTAACAAAGTTATATCATATTTAAGCTTGAACAGCACTGTATTTCGAGATAAACACTTTCATGTAAATAAAGCGGTTCTATTGTACCGCAAATAGTTTTTTTAATACTGTACGGGGAATAGCATAGATACTTTTTCCTTTATTGTTTCTTTCCTCGGGGGTATCTATATCCGGTGGTGATGCTACAAAGTGTCCATGGTAAATTGAAAAGGGTGGAGTCCATTAAAACTGACAAAACCATAAGGCATGTAAATGACGGCACATATGTCTGTTTCATTTATTGGAGTTTTCTTATGGATTCTGCAATTTCAAAAATACTACTTTTACGTTAGATTTTACAGACAGCTCAAGCATTGGAATTTGTAACGTGAAAACATTGAAAAAGAATATCATGTAACTTGGTCTATGTTGGGCAAAAAAAAGCCAAACTGGCTTTTTGTATGCTCCAGTAAAAGATAAGAGGGGAACAAGTGATTGTTTAAAAACACCAAATAAGTAGAGCCATCCACTGTCATTCACCAAAATTCGTTACTTTATTACAACCAGAAATGAATAGAAAAGGAAAAGCTGCATTGCAACAATTTCGCGAAATCTAATTTGAGATGGACCTTTAAAAACAGCAAAAAACTACGCTCCTCAAGTATTGCTGTAGATGAAAAACATCTACGTTGTCGATTTTTTAACTGATAACGTAATAGGTGAATCAGCATTTTACAGAATTTTGCAAACACATCCTTGATCAAGCAATTCTTTTCTATGACAAATAACTTATTGATATGCAACGAATTCAACGGCTTTGTAATTCTTAATGGTTTCACTAAGCATCACTAATAGACAAAAGCAGAATATAATTAGTTCCATAGTGTGTTAGTGACCTAATATATATCATGGTAGGTCACTAGCACATTGAGTAGCGAACTTAACTTACCGACTATCTTAAAATGTGGCATTTAAACTACTTGCATGTCAAAGTGATCAAGGCTTCAATATTAAGAATCTACTTCAATTGGTCTATCCAAAAAGAAATGCAAACAATAACAACTTTTAGCTTTTAATGTGTTTTCTGCATTTATTTTCGATCGATCAGTAGGTCACTAGCACTCTGTGTAACATTTTGTCATGTCGAGGCCTTTTATAGCTGAGTATAGCGTATGGTTTTTGCTCACTATTGAAGGCCGTACAGTGATATGTAGTTGATTAAATTCGCTTCATTTTGGACTCTGTCGGATAGTTGTCTCAACTGAAATCCTACCACATCTCCTTATTTTATATAAGCTGTTTGATCTTAAAAATGCTCAAGTTCCAATTTAAGATAAAAATGTGTGCATCTGTGGCTTTAAGGTGGCTGGGGCGTCTTAACTAAAATCCATAGAATTTTTTAATAATTTGTCAAAATGAAGTTTTTATCATGCTTTTTCCAAAAATATAATAAAAAGTATGGTTTACCGGCCTTTTTTACGCTACAGGTTGTGCAAAATTGTTAGATTTTGTATAGATTATGCATGGAAAATCCAATTTTGTGTCATAAAAAGAAAACTGCATGATAGAATTTTAAGATAAAATGTGAGAAGATAGCTCTCACAACATGCTTTCAGATACGAAAAAGAAAAAATGGGGTCACCGAACTTGTTTTCTTGCTACATATCAACATAGGTAAATTCACAACACTTTCTTTTATATAATTACTTTACCTCAGTTATCTCCCCTACTATCTGAGTTAACT